TGTTTACAATGTGCATGGGGTTCCCCTTGAAATCCATACCACCAGACCTCTATCTGGATTTTGCATTTACACATCTGACATTTTAGACTGGTGTGCTGCGAGATTGCTGCTCCAGTGTATTAACAGCATAAGCAAACCCTGTGGTCTCCCTGTCTAAGTGCATCTAAACCCAAGAACACAATGTTAATATTTTGCAGCTGACCAGTCGTGGCTGCATTAGTTTTTGTTTTTCTTTCAGGCTTTTTTTTTCCCTTTATAGTCATCTTATGATCCTGATTGTAACACACTTCCTATCTCTAGGGTGACAACGCTTGCTCACTACACTGTAACCATGGAGGATCAGCGTTGTCACCTTAGTTTGCTCTTCTGATTTGAGCTGCAAACACCACCTCCCTCACGTCCATTACATACATAGTTGTTCTGTAGTCGACAGAAGATGACTGGGAAGGCTTTAACCCTGTTTGAGATTTCAGTTCAGTGTACAGAAAGTTAAATAGACTCTTAAAACTTACAGTAGTGCAACTACAGAAATCCAAAGTGCTTGATAAAACTAATGCAGCAGCCACATCCAAGGACTGGTAAGCTGCAACATATTACATTTTTCTTGCATTTAATGAAGTTGTCTTTGCCTGGGATACAACTGTGCTCATGAGTCTTGTGGCAGGTCCCCTCAGATAGTCTTACCCGTGGTTTTTGCACAGATAATTTACCAATAAAGCTGTTCATTATGAAATCTTACAACAGTGCTAGAGGTAAGATATATCATATGTATGGTGTGCACTTAGGTATTGCAAGGTGGCAAAACAGACATGAAAGAAGATTGCCTGGCAGAGGAAAAACAGCATAGAGACAAAAGTTTTTTTTTCTGGAAATTTTGACTTATTAGGAAGATCAATGTGCTAAAAAGTTGTGGAACATTTCTAAGATGAACCATCAAATTAAAAGCACGTTTCTCACCCAACACTGTTGTGTGCCTTCGGGTAGTCAATGAAGAAGTCTGTTTTTCCCTGCCGTGTTTAATCCCATTTGTTTAAAATTGCACCATCGCATATACTGGCAGTTGGTACAAAGAATCTATTTGCTCTAGATATATGATACTTGGGTCATGTAAGCTGGGGATCCAAGGGTTCACCAAAGAAAAAACAGACGTGATCATTAACAATAGGGATACACAGATACCAAGTAGCATACTCGGTACAAGTACAGATACTTTTCCAGCTCCAAGACTAGACTAGAGAAAAAATTCAAAAGTTAGGAGGGACAGTCATTGTCATTTGTAAGGAGCACACGGAGCTCCCGGGATTTGTACATCTCTGTTTTAATGTATGATTTTGTTTTTATAAACATATATAAGGGAACCACCGATACCAGTTTTGCGAGTACAAGTACTGATACTGGTCCAAGTACTCACAGATACAAGGACTGATACACTTTTGTTTGTCATGTGACAGTTTTTCTAAAACAATACAGACTAATGATTTCAGGACAGTGGTGGAGCACCAGAGCCAGGTCCCAGTTGCAACCGCTGCAACACTGGTAGTTCTCGTTAAAATGCCAAGTATCGGCACTGGTATTGGTGCATCCCTAATTAACAATCAACTGATGTGAAGAATATCACCTTATGTACAAAGATCAGAGCAAAAGGTCAATAAGAGGACAAGTGGCTGATTACACAAGTGGTGCTGATCAGCACTTAACGAGGACCCGTTTTGTAAAAGTTGTGCCTGAAATAATGGACAAGTAAAGGATTAGTCACCAGCGTTTCATGTATGTTCCCTGCAAGTGATGTTTTCCCAATTACTCACTATGTCTCTGTGTGGAGGCAGCCATCTTGGTAAAGGAGCATGGCTTTGCTTCCTCCTGTCAGATTTGATCCCCCCTCCCACCCCAATTGACTGATGGAGTAATGATCATTAAGCAGCAGGAAAGATGGAGAAAACACAGATCCACAGGATTGGTAAAGCACCCCAGGGAAATCCTTGCACTCAGGTTCAGCATCCTCTCCAGCACAGAGAACAGAGAGGTGCACAGTACTGACATGATTAAATCTGGGAGGACTAGCAGTCACAAGCACAGTGCCTTAGATGATCTCACACACTGCAGGTATACAGCTATGAGGATCAAGGCACAGGAAAGCCATTGGTGTTTTTCCAGACCAAAAGGTGCATTTGTTTTAGGGTTCTGCTTAGACACAATTAACATCTGGATGTTCCCTATAAGATAGCAATTTTCTTGGGTTCAGGTCCACTTTAGTATAGGATATAGATACCTTAAGACTCAGGGATGTCCATCAAGAAGTGTGTGAATATTGCTTGGCTTCATTAAAGTGGCACAGAAGGTGTTTTACAGATGGTCAAAAATTTGCTCTTTGCTCAACCAATGTAATAGATTAAACCAATGACACAAACATCCCTGTCCAGTCAACTATTCAGAAAAGACTTTTCAGTCAATAATCCTCACCTATTGTGAATCTACAAAATGTACCATTCACCTTCTCTCCTAGGTCTAGCACAGCGTAGCATAATCCCATCCTCAAGTCCCACCAAAAGTGCAGTTGGTGTCTCATTATTGCGATTTAACTACCTGTATGGCTATCTACAAA